CCAAGATCTTTTTCACACATACTGCTCTCGAGCTAGGCATCCCCCATTCTGTATCTTTGCATTTCGTTGCTGGGATTTATAGTTCACCTGCAATCAAAGAGCATTCTGAACCTCACCAATCATAGAATTGAACCAATCTTGGCACACAGGACTCCCATGACCAAAAAAAAAAAAAACACTGGAAGGGTTTGGTGGGCATTGACCTTGAGTTTGGGAGTTGTAGTTCACCTACATCCAGAGAGCACTGTGGACTCAAACAATGATTGATCAGGACCAAACTTGGAACAAATACTCAATATGCCCAAATATGAACACAGATGGAGTTTGGGAAAAATAGCCTTGAGATTTGGGAGTTGTAGTTGCTGGGATTTATAGTTCACCCACAGTCAAAGAGCATTCTAAATTCCACCATGGATAGAATTGGGCCAAACCTTCTGCACAGAGTCCTCCTGAGTAACAGAAAAAACTGTGTTTTCTGATGGTCTTTGGTGACCCTTCTAAGACCCCCACATGACCCCCATGTTGTGAAACACTGCTCTAAAGTTTTGGAAGTATCAGATGTCCTTCCATTTGTGTTGTTGAATGCTTTCATGTCCAGGATCACTGGATTGCTGTGGGTTTTTCTGGCTGTGTGACCCTGTACCAGTAGCATTCTCTCCTGATGTTTCGCCTGCATCTGTTGCTGGCATCCTCAGAGGTTGGAAATGAGGCAAGTGGAGTGTATATATACCTGTGGAATAATGTCTAGGGTGGGAGGAAGAACCAGGGGTCTCGAGCCCAGGTTGAGAAACCGTGGTTTGATCAGAAGCTGACCTTTGATGAATGGATTCAGCCCTTCTTTTTCCCATCAGCAGAACCAAAGACCAAAACTCCACGGCTTGGACATAATGTGCCTTCAAGAAACCACAGCGGTTTGTTATTACTGTCAGTGGCGCCATGCGTTCCTTCCTAACTGCCATATAAGAAGACATTTGAAGATGGTATCTGCAAAACAGATCTCAAGATGCTTTCCGAAAGTACATTTTCTCTCTCTCTTTCACAAGGTACTTTTGAAGCGAGTGACAGTTTCCGAGGTGTTACAGTTTTAATGTATATCTATATTGTGGGTGATGCATAGTGGAGCATAATGCAAATCACCCAAGGACAGTGCAAATAATAGAGGTCATTTCCTGCCAAATGCACCGTCAGCCTTTTTCTTTTGCTGCTTTGTTTGAAACTGAGGCAGAGAAACAGGGTTGGATTGTACATCCCTTCCTGCGGCACCCAAAACGCCCCATTAGATGCTTTAGAAAAGCGGGCCCCCTTGGATTCCACTTTGTGGCCCCCAAAATCCCAAGAGAGAGTTTGTTTACACTGTAGAATGACTGCAGCGCAGCACCACTTTAACCACCATGGCTCCATGCTATGGAATCCCTGGGAGTTGTAGTTTTGCAAGGTTTTTAGCCCCACCAAACTACAAACCCAATCGGATATTGAGCCATGGCAGCTCAAGTGGTGCCAAACCGCATTAATATGAATTACTTTTCTTACTTAGGTAATCCCTCGTTGTCTGAGTAGGATAGTCTTCCAAGATCAGTGGGTCCGCAGGTGACTGTGGAGCCCTATTCTTGATCTCCATGTTATCTCGCAGTGAAGTCATCGGTTTCCAGGTGGAAGGCGGTCCCGGTCAGAGTTGGCTTGATGCGCCTTCCTCTTGACATGTTTCTCTCTTTCGCCCTCCATTCGTGCGTCTTCAAATTCTACAGCACTGTTGGTCACAGCTGACCTCCAGCTGGAGCGCTCAAGAGCCAGTGCTTCCCAGTTCTCAGTGTCTATGCCGGAGTTTTTAATGGAACCAAACTTGGCATACACAACTCCCATGACCAATAGAAAGGATTGGAAGAATCTGGTGGGCATTGACCTTGAGTTTTGGAGTTGTAGTTCACCTACATCCAGAGAGCACTGTGGACTCAAACAATGATGGATCTGGACCAAACTTGGCACAGATACTCAATATGCCCAAATGTGAACACTGGTGGAGTTTGGGAAAAAATAGACCTTGACATGTGGGAGCTGTAGTTGCTGGGATTTATAGTTCACCTACAATCAAAGAGCATTCTGAACTCCACCAATGATGGAATTGGGCCAAACTTCCCACACAGAACCCCCAAGACCAACAGAAAATACTGTGTTTTCTAATGGTCGTTGGCAACCCCTCTGATACACCCTCGCGACCCCCACAGGGGTCCCGACCCCCAGGTTGAGAAACCCTGTCATAGTTTAAATTCCAAGCCTCCATCCTATCCTATCCAATCTATCTAGTGTAATTTCTCCAGTGGTGTGGGGCGCAGACACCCTGCCGCATTATCACAGGGTGTGTGCGCCCCACACCACTGGAGAAATTACACTGCTTAGCCGGTATTGCACCACCTGACATCCGCCGGGAAGTAGCAGCCAATAGTGAAAGGACCAAGGCAGAGACATCTCCAGTCCATCCCTTGTTTGGGTATCAGCCAGCACGTCAATTTATTATTTTATTTATTTTATTTTTTAAATTTATTTACAGTTCTTATATTCCGCCCTTCTCACTCCGCAGGGGACTCAGGGCGGATTACAGTAAACACATATATGGCAAACATTGAATGCCAGTTTGACAAACAACATTTAAGAGACAAATACACCGAGGCTATTTAACTTTTTTCTGGCCGCCGGGGGAGCTGCTGCTTTTCATCGTCCATCAACAACACCGATGAAGTTCTTCCGCATTCCACATTCCCCGGAGTCTTTTTCTTTATGGCCTCATAAATTAGTTAAATTTAGCCTCCCACACAAGGTGGTACCTTATTTTCCTACTTGACAGATGCAACTGTCTTTCAGGTTGCAAAGGTCGACAATGACTTAAATCTAGAAATAGTTTTCTAAGATCTACAGAGACACTCGCTGGAACGCCTCAGCAAGCGAGAGTTCAAAAGTGGCAGGCTCAAACCAGAACCTCAATCCATGGGTGATACCAGATGAGAGACTCCCCATTGGGCACACAGAAGACTGGGCGACTTGGAAGGCGCTGAACAGACTGCGCTCTGGCACCACGAGATGCAGAGCCAACCTTCAGAAATGGGGCTATAAAGTAGAATCCTCGACATGTGAGTGTGGAGAAGAGCAAACCACTGACCACCTGCTGCAATGCACCCTGAGCCCCGCCACATGCACAATGGAGGACCTTCTTGCAGCAACACCGGAAGCACTCCAAGTGGCCAGATACTGGTCAAAGGACATTTAACCAGCTACGAAACTCACAAGTTGTGTATTTTTCTGTTTGTTTGCTTTGTTCTGTTAGAAATGTTTCCAATCTTCCCTTTTTGGGCAAAGTCCTGGAACGTGTGGTGGCCTCACAACTCCAGGTATTCTTGGTAGACACTGATTATCTAGATCCGGCACAGTCTGGTTTCAGGCCGGGACATGGTACCGAGACAGCCTAGGTCGCCTTAGTGGATGATCTGCGCAGGGAGCTAGACAGGGGGAGTGTGTCCCTGTTAGTTCTGCTGGACCTCTCAGCGGCCTTCGATACCGTCGACCACGGTATCCTTCTGAGACGCCTCGCGGGAATGGGCCTTGGTGGCACTGTTCTGCAGTGGCTCAGGTCCTTCCTAGAGGATCGTACTCAGAAGGTGTTGCTGGGGGACAACTGCTCTATCTCACAACCATTGTCTTGTGGGGTACCGCAGGGCTCAATATTGTCCCCCATGTTATTTAACATCTACATGAAACCGTTGGGAGAGATCATCCGGAGTTTCGGGGTGCGGTGTTATCTGTACGCAGATGACGTCCAACTCTGTCACTCCTTCCCACCTACTACTAAGGAGGCTGTTCAGGTCCTGAACCGCTGCTTGGCCGCTGTGTCGGACTGGATGAGGGCTAACAAATTGAAACTGAATCCAGATAAGACAGAGGCACTCCTGGTCAGTCGAAAGGCTACAGCCTGTGTTAGACGGGGTTACACTCCCTCTGAAGACGCAGGTTCGCAGCTTGGGTGTGATCCTGGACTCTTCGCTAAGCTTGGAACCCCAAGTTTCGGCGGTGTCCAGGGGAGCATTTGCACAACTCAAACTTGTGCGCCAGTTGCGCCCGTACCTTGGGAAGTCTGACTTGGCCACGGTAGTCCACGCTCTGGTTACATCCCGGATTGATTACTGCAACGCGCTCTACGTGGGGTTGCCCTTGAAGACTGCCCGGAAGCTTCAGATGGTCCAGCGCTCGGCAGCCAGGTTGCTAACGGGAGTGGCACTCAGGGAGCATACCACTCCTCTGTTGAGCCAGCTCCACTGGCTGCCAATCCGCTACCGGGCACAATTCAAGGTGCTGGCTTTAGCCTATAAAGCCCTAAACGGTTCTGGCCCTGCTTACCTCTCCGAACGCATCTCCACCTATGAACCGACCAGAACATTAAGATCGTCTGGGGAGGCCCTGCTCTCGATCCCGCCTGCGTCACAGGCGCGCTTGGCGGGGACGAGAGACAGGGCCTTCTCAGTGGTGGCCCCTCGGCTATGGAATGCCCTACCGGCAGACATCAGACAGGCACCTTCGCTGCTGACGTTTTGGAGAATGGTTAAGACCTGGCTTTTTTTTTGGATGGGTTGGGGATCAGCTGGTTTTCCCTGTAAGAGGCAGTTAGAGATTCTAGAGCTTCTCAAAGCTCCCTGCTTGAGCAGTAATAGCTCAATAGATTTGTTATACACCTGCGAGACGTGGACTGTCTACTGACATCACATACAACTCCTGGAACGATTCCACCAGCGTTGCCTCCGGAAAAAAAAATACATATACATATACCCAGTTAGTCACAGATCTGCCATACAAGCTTTCATCTATCCTATCCAATCTATCTAGTTGTGGCTACTCTCTCGTCATTCCCGGAAGCCGCTTCTCCACAGGTGTGTCTACCCCTCTACTATTTTCATAGCTCTAGGCTGGCCAGGGAAGGAAGTAGCTGTTCGGCGGCCGGAAGCGGCGTCTCAGTTGCCATGGCGACGGCGTCGGAGGCCAAGATGGCGGAGGCGGGTGCCCCTCTGGTGGAAGGGAGCTCCTCGTCGACGAGGCCGGGAAGCAGCCTCCACGCCGCCTCCACCCGCGCCTTCAGCCTCCGCCCGGCCTTCATCCGCAAGTATATATACAATAGAATGATATCATAGAATCAAAGAGTTGGAAGAGACCTCCTGGGCCATCCAGTCCAACCCCATTCTGCCAAGAAGCAGGAAAGTTGCATTCAAATCACCCCTGACAGATGGCCATCCAGCCTCTGTTTAAAAGCTTCCAAAGAAGGAGCCTCCACCACACTCCGGGGCAGAGAGTTCTACTGCTGAACGGCTCTCACAGTCAGGAAGTTCTTCCTCATGTTCAGATGGAATCTCCTCTCTTGTAGTTTGAAGCCATTGCTCCATTGCGTCCTAGTCTCCAGGGAAGCAGAAAACAAGCTTGCTCCCTCCTCCCTGTGGCTTCCTCTCACATATTTATACATGGCTATCGTGTTTCCTCTCAGCCTTCTCTTCTTCAGGCTAAACATGCCCAACTCCTTAAGCCCCTCCTCATAGGGCTTGTTCTCCAGACCCTTGATCATTTTAGTCGCTCTCCTCTGGACACATTCCAGCTTGTCAATATCTCTCTTGAATTGTGGTGCCCAGAATTGGACACAATATTCCAGGTGTGGTCTAACCAAAGCGGAATAGAGCATGGGGAGCATGACTTCCTTAGATCTAGACACTAGGCTCCTGTTGATGCAGGCCAAAATCCCATTGGCTTTTTTTGCCGCCACATCACATTGTTGGCTCATGTTTAACTTGTTGTCCACGAGGACTCCAAGATCTTTTTCACACGTACTGCTCTCGAGCCAGGCATTCCCCCATTCTGTATCTTTGCATTTCGTTTTTCCTGCCAAAGTGGAGTATCTTGCATTTGTCCCTGTTGAACTTCATTTTGTTAGTTTTGGCCCACCATCTCTCTAATCTGTCAAGATCGTTTTGAATCCTGCTCCTGTCCTCTGGAGCAGGATTGGCTCTCCCTCCCAATTTGGTCCCATCTGCAGACTTGATGATCCTGCCTTCTATCCCTTAATCTATATATATATATAAAATGTAGTGAATCTATATAAAAATATCATATGTAATTTAATGGATATATATATTCTCTCTCCCTCTCTCTCTCTCTCTATATATATATTCATTTTTATATATGTATATACATTATCTTATATACATCTCATGAGGAAATCTAGATAAAATTAACACAAATGAATGAGATATTAAAAATACAATATAAAATATATAATGTAATGAATATATATCCATTATGTATATGTATATATACATAATATTATATTTTTATTTTCATTATATAGATGTGTATATATATATATTCTTTTTATTATATTCAATATATATTCATTATATATATATTCATTATATTATATATATTAATTATATTATATTTGTTATATTTTATATACATTCATTATATTATATACATATATATTCATTATTTATTCAATATATATTCATTATATACATATATATTGGTTATTATATTTTATATATATTCATTATCTTATATACATATGAGGAAATCTAGATAAAATTAACACAAATTAATGAAAAATAAATGTAAATTTGATATTAAAAATACAATATAATGTAATATTAAAATACAATATAAAATATATAATTCATTATGTACATGCATATATACATATTATAGTTTATATTAATTATATAGATGTATATATATATTCTTTTTATTATATTCAATATATATTCATTATATATATTATTTATTTATTTACTTTATTTGTATACCGCACTATCTCTTAGATTTCGCACATCCGCAGTGAAGGAGTGTATCCATGAAGTGCTAAAGGAGCACCTGACTGCCGTACAGTACTCGCCTGAAGAAATCCCAGTAATTACCAAACTCCTATCAGAGACGATCAGAGACAAGCTGAAGGGTAAATAGGATGGAGCAGAGAAACTGACTTTTTCTTCCTTCATCTTCCATCTCACACATGCTTCACTCTATGTGATGTTGCTGTTGCTGTGGCAAAAATCTCTCTGTTCTTCCTAATCATTTTTTCTTTTTCTTTTTTTTTAGAGAAAGGATTTCAAAGATATAAAATAGTTGTGCAAGTGGTGATTGGAGAACAAAGAGGTGAAGGTGTTAAGTAAGTTGGTCTGCCTTTATCCAGAATTCTAATTGTGTTGTTTGTTGAAGGCTTTCATGCCCAGAATCACTGGGTTGCTGGGAGTTTCAGGCTATATGGCCATGTTCCAGTAGCATTCTCTCCTGATGTTTCACCTGCATCTATGACAGACATCCCAAGAGGTTTGTTCAGAGGTTTGGAAACTCCCAGCAATAAGTCCTTAAATGCACTTTATTAATGATCTAGGATTGTCTGCACGCCCCATCCCTCTCCGAAAATTGTATCCTAGTCATATTTCACCTGTTCATGCTCAGCATTATTTATAAAATTTTAATTATTACATTTGGCCCAGCCATAGGTCTTTTAAACGTCGTTGTGTTACTGTTAATGTTTATTGCTTATTTTTTGTTATGAGTTTTATTTTATTGTTTGTATTACTGTTGTTATTGTTTTTATTACTCATGTATTGTGGGCTCGGCCTCATGTAAGCCACACCGAGTCCCTTGGGGAGATGGTAGCGGGGTATAAATAAAGTATTATTATTATTATTATTATTATTATTATTATTATTTGTGGGAATGAGGCAAGTGAAGTGTGGAACGTCACCCTGTCTCTCTATGAGTTCTCCCTTGCAAATAATTCTGCTCCTTTATCTCACCCTGAGTTTTTAAATTATTTTATGTACGTTGGGCCAATTCACTGTCATTATGTTTTGTTTACTGTTTTTTATGCTTTGTGTATATTGCTTATTGTATTTATATGTTTGTACTTTATTGCAATGTTGTTTATTGTATTGTAATTTGTTGTTCGGGCTTGGCCTCATGTGAGCCGCCCCAAATCCCCGTTGGGGGAGATTGTTGTTGTTGTTGTTGTTGTTATTATTATTATTATTATTATTATTATTATTAATGATGTCCAGGGTGGGAGGAAGAATTCTTGTCTGTTTGAAGCAAGTGTGAATGTTGCAATTAGCATGCTTGATTAGCATGGAGTAGCCTGGCAACTGCAAAGCTTGGCTGTTGTGGCCTGGGGGCATCCTCTGTTTGGGAGGTGTTAACTGGCACTTGATTGTTTGCTGTCTCGAACTTCCCTGTTTCTGAGTGGTGTTCTTTATTTACTGTCTTGATTCTGGTGTTTGTTTTTTTAAATACTGGGAACCAGATTTTGTTCATTTTCATGGTTTCCTCCTTTCTGTTGACATTGTCCACCTGCTTCTTGTGGATTTCAATGGCTTCTCTGTGTAGTCTGACATGGTGGTTGTCAGAGTAGCCCAGCATTTCTGTGTTTTCAAACATTCTGTGTCCTGGTTGGTTTATCAAGTGTTCTGCTATAGCTTTTTTTTTTCTCGTGTCAGGAGCGACTTAAGAAACTGCAAGTCACTTCTGGTGTCTGGCTTTTTTGCTTGAATTAGTCTGCAGTGCCTTTCATGTTCTCTGATTCGTGTCTGGGCATTGCAGCTCCATTTGATGGTTCCTATGTACTCAAGTTTTCTAACTGCAACATTCACACTTGCTTCAAACAGACGAGGGCTCTGGACATTCCACACACACACACACACACACGTATATATATATACATGCACATTCCACTTGCTTCACCGCCGACAGAACCTCTGATGATGCTGTTAGCCCCAGATGCTTTTCAAATGCAGTGATTACTGTTCAATTGTGAATATTACTGTCATAATGGATGAGTCCTTATTTGTTTCCGCAGCATGGCTGCCCGATGCTTCTGGGATGCAGATACTGACAACTATGCTCAGGATGTTTTCATTAATGTAAGTGCTTTGCCATTTTAAAAAAAATTGATACATTTTAATATCAAATTTAATACTTAAATTACAAGAACCAATATATAAAAAACAATATAGAGGCATCACACTGGCAACCAAGATCTGCATAGTTAAAGCAATGGTATTCCCCATAGTCACCTACGGATGTGAGAGCAGGACCATAAGGAAGACTGAGCAAAGAAGATATAGATGCTTTTGAACTGTGGTGTTGGAGGAAAGTTCTGAGAGTGTCTTGGACAGCGAGAAGATCCAACCAGTCCATACTCCAGGAAGTAAAGCCCGACTGCTCATTGGAGGGAAAGATAGTAGAGGCAAAGATGAAGTATTTTGACCACATAATGAGAAGACAGGAAAGCTAAGAGAAGACAGTGATTCTGGGGAAAATGGAAGGAAAAAGGAAGAGGGGCCGACCAAGGACAAGATGGATGGATGGATGGCATCCTTGAAGTGACTGGATTGACCTTGAAGGAGCTGGGGGTGGTGACAGCCGACAGAGAGCTCTGGCATTGGATGGTCCATGAGGTCACAAAGAGTCGGAAGTGACTGAACGAATGAACAACAACAACATACAAAACAATTCCACAGACTTCCCCCACAAAATAATGACAATAAGCAGTACATCGTTTCTGTTCCAGCCAACTGTTTATGACTTTTCGCTGTTTTCTGATTATAGTATGATGACTTACCATATGTACTCGAGTATAAGCTGACCTTAACATAAGCCGAGGCACCTAATTTTGCCTCAAAAAACTGGGAAAACGTATTGACTTGAGTGTATGCTGAGTGTGGGAAATGCAGCAGTTTCTGGTCAATTTCAAAATAAAAATAGATACCAATAAAATTATATTACTTCAGGCATCAGTAGGTTAAGTGTTTTTGAATGTTTACATAAAACTGTAAGATAACTTTAAGATAAGACTGACCAACTCTGATTAAACCATTATTCTAACTTTCTTTAATGTAAATGTGCTTATGTATCCTTCCAATAATAATAGAGTCAAATAATAAATGTGACAAAAAGAATAAGTAGAGTCAAATAATAAATGTAATAACAGTAATAAGTATAGTAAAAAATAAATGTAACAATAACAATAATAAATAGAGTAAAATAATACATGTAATAACAATAACAACAACAACAGAGTAAAATAATAAATAACTGACTTGAGTATAAGCCAAAGGGGGCTTTTTCAGCCTAAAGAAAAGGCTGAAAAACTCAGCCTATACTCAAGTATATATGGTATATAAATATTCCTCCTCTGTAAATTATTTACTATCTTCCCTTAAAATAAAGGGGGAAAAAATTATATATCGGAGATTGCAGTTGACAAGTGTTTTCCAAGTTTTGAAAAATGTACCCTGAACCTTTGAAATGCCCTTAAATTACATGATATGTTTATTGTGTTTTAGCTTTTGTCTCATAGATTTTAATATGCGTATATTTTAATATATGCTTTTATGGTTGCATTTAAACTATGTTGTAATATGTGATTTTATAGATGTATGTACCTATGCTGTGTCCCAGCTCAAGCCAAAAGGAGATGCGGTTAATAAATTATCAGTAATGGTAATAATATTACACTATGTAACAAAATTTGAAAAAAAAATCTGTTCCTGGTTTAAAAGTGTTATTTCATAGAATCATAGAATCAAAGAGTTGGAAGAGACCTCATGGACCATCCAGTCCAACCCAATTTTGCCAAGAAGCAGGAATATTGCATTCAAATCACCCCTGACAGATGGCCATCCAGCCTCTGTTTAAAAGCCTCCAAAGAAGGAGCCTCCACCACACTCCAGGGCAGAGAGTTCCACTGCTGAACAGCTCTCACAGTCAGGAAGTTCTTCCTCTGGTTCAGATGGAACCTCTTGTTTAATTGTGCCACTTTGAAAGTAGTTGTTCTACTCCAGAAACGTCATTTTTGTGGCTGCCACAAACTAGGTTGAATTGGTTGAGACTCCATGAGATATTCCTTGAAAAACTAGAGCAAAATGTGCTGCAGGATGTTGTGTTACAGAGTGTTATTAAACAAGCTAAAGAGTTTGGGCTTTTCCCATTTATATAATTCATATTCTTTGCTTCATTGTTAAGCATATAAGACTGAATGCAAGACAGCATGGTGTATTACTATGACAAACCTAAGGTGATCTGTTATGGGGCTTTCTTGGCAAGGTCTTCTCAGAGTCTGTCCTTACCTTCCTCTGAGGCTGAGACTCACCTGCTGTCACCCAGTGTTAATGTAGAAGAAGCCCAAGTGCATGTTTTTGCTCCACTGAAGGTCATTTCCACTCACTGTTTTTTCGCTCTACCATTTCTCCAGGACAGCCTCTTCTGCGTGGCAGTGGCTTTTGGCTGTTACTTCTACTAACGCAGATGGGAAGCTCAAAGAATGAAGACTGCTTCTCCAGAAGGAAAACAAAATATACACAGAAGTTGTGCTGCATATATATATATATATATATATATATATATATATATATATATATATATTAAAAAACTATAGTTGATATGTTTAATAACAACAGTCATATTTTTCTACATAGCAGTCGTGCGATTGTTCTTGTAAATAAAAGTATCCTGAAGTGAATGGGGTTATGATCCTGCCCAGCTCTAGTTCATTCCTTATGTTTATATGTACCTTTTTTATGCTCGGTGCAGAATGGGACCCATCTGGATTTGTTGGGATTACTAACAATTGACATTGCTGGGTGCAGATCCATTGTATGTCTTGCAGAGGTGAATCCATTTTCAATGTATATACCGAAATCATAGTAAAACTTGTTTTGTAATCCATTACGTCATGTTTACTTCAGTGTGAATTTTATTCTCAATGCAGTTCCAAAACATTCTCTCTCTGGCTGCATGGATTTTCCGCATTCGACCTGCTTTTATAAAGAATGACATTTCAGTAACATTAAGAATCTAGCATTCCTCACTTACCATTTAGGTCTAAATATAATAAATCTCCAGGAGTCTACCGTGTACCATGCAGCTGTGGACAAGTCTACATAGGGACCACCAAACGCAGTGCCCAAACCCGAGTCAAGGAACGTGAAAGGCACTGCAGACTACTTCAACCAGAGAAATCAGCCATAGCAGAGCACCTGGTGAACCAACCTGGACACAGCATTTTATTGGAGAACACAGAAATGCTGGGCCACTCGAACAACCACCATGTCAGACTACATAGAGAAGCCATTGAAATCCACAAGAAGCATGTGGACAATGTCAACAGAAAGGAAGAAACCATGAAAATGAACAAAATCTGGCTACCAGTATTAAAAAAAACTCAAAAATTACAACAGCACAACAACAGAGAGGAAACAAACAAGGACATCTAATCACCTCTCAACAAAAGATTGCCCCAGGCTCTGTCAGACCATTATATGCTAATCAAGGTGGTCAGTTGAAACATTCACACCTAGCTCCAGCAGACAAGAGTTCTTTGTCCCACCCTGGTCATTCCACAGATATATAAACCCACTTTCCTAGTTCCAACAGACCTCACTACCTCTGAGGATGCTTGCCATAGATGCAGGCGAAACGTCAGGAGAGAATGCCTCTAGACCATGGCCATATAGCCCGAAAAGACCTACAACAACCCAATAACTCTATACTTGGAATTCTTTTTTTTACTAAGTGCATGTAAATACCGTTTAAAATTACAGCTGCCATTTAAAATATAGAAATCTTAGGTGATATGTAAAATGTGTAAATATATTTTTTATTTTTTTAAAAAATCTAAAAATATAAGATATTTCAACAGTCTTGTTTCCTTGATTTATATGTCATGTTTTTCCCTATACAGGACCCATACCTGTTGTAATAGGCATTGTAGGTATCTTAGAATAGGATAATAGAATCCTAGAGTTGGAAGAGGCCTCAGGGACCTTCCCCTCCAACCCCATTGTGCCAAGAAGCAGGAAAATCTCATTCAATGCACCCCCCCCCTTTTTTTTTTGTCATGTCAGGAGCGACTTGGGAAACTGCAAGTCGCTTCTGGTGTGAGAGAATTGGCTGCCTGCAAGGGCATTGCCCAGGGGACGCAAGGATGTTTTGATGTTTTTATCATTCTTGTGGGATGCTTCTCTCATGCCCCCGCATGAGGAGCTGGAGCTGATAGAGGGAGCTCATCCACTCTCTCCCCTGATTTGAACCTGCAACCTGTTGGTCTTCAATCCTGCCGGCATAGGGGTTTAACCCACTTCGCCATCGGGGGCTCCTGACAGATGGCCATCCAGCCTCTGTTTCAAAACTTCCAAAAAAGGAGCCTCCACCACACTCTCTTTTAGCAGAGAGTTCCACTGCTAAACAGCTGTCCTTACAGTGAGGAAGTTCTTCCTAACGTTCAGTTCTTCTGCATCCCTAGTCTCCAGGGCAGCAGAAAACAAGCCTGCTCCCTTTTCCCTATAACTTTCCCTCACATATTTATACATAGCTATTATGTCTCCTCTCAGCCTTCTCTTCTTCAGGCTAAATATGCCCAGCTCTTTAAACCACTCTTCATAGGGCTTGTTCCCCAGACCTTTGATCATTTTAGTTGCCCTCCTTTGAACACATTCCAGCTTGTCGACATCTCCCTTCAATTGCACTGCCCAGAACTGGACACAGTGTGATTCCAGGTGTGGTCTGACCAAGACAGAATGGAGCATGGGGAGCATGATTTCCCTGGATCTAGAAACTAGAGTCCATTGGCTTTTTTAGCCACCGCATCACATTGTTGGCTCATGTTCACTTTCCTGTCCACAAGGACTCCAAAATCTATCGAGCCAGGCATCCGTTATATCTTTTTAAAAAATGAAAAAGAAGACATTTCAACACTCTTATTTCCTTCTTTGATTTACACCCATACTTGTTGTAATAGACATTATTGAATCAAAAATTGTGTTATATAGTGTAGTAGTAATAATAATAATAATAATAATAATAATAATAATAATAATGGATTGTCGATGTTGCAATCCCAAGCAACAACAGAATTAACGAAAAGCAACTGAAAAAGCTTACATGATATAAGGATTTAAAGACAGAACTGCACCGGGACTGTGACGCAGCTGGCTGAGTGTCAGCTGCATTAAGATCACTTCTGACTAAAAGGTCATGAGTTCGAAGTCAGCCCGGGTCGGAATGAGCGTCCAACCAATTGTGTAGCTTGTTGTCAACTTTTGCAACCCAAAAGACAGTTGCATCTGTCAAGTAGGAAAATGAGGTACCACCTATGTGTGGAGAGGCTAATTTAAGTAATTTACAAGACCATAAAAAGACTCCAGCAGAAAGCATGCGGGGAATGCGGAAGTACTTCATCAGTGTCGCAGATGGACGATGAAAGCGACAGCTCCCCTGGAGGCCAGATAAGTTAAATAGCCTCTGACTATTTGTCGATGTTGTGTGTCTTGGCATTGAATGTTTGCCATATATGTGTACATTGTAATCCGCCCTGAGTCCCCTGCGGGGTGAGACGGGCAGAATATAAATACTGCAAATAAGTAAATAAATAAACTGCAAAGACTCTAGCACAAGCCAGTAAAGGTGGTCCCAGTGGTGATTGGCACAGTGTCTAAAGACCTTGGCCTGCACTTAAAAACAATAGGTACTGACAAAATTACCATCTGTCAGCTGCAAAAGGACACCCTGCTTGGATCTGCACGCATTATTCACCAATACATCACACAGTCCTAAATACTTGGGAAGGGTCCGACGTGTGATCCAATACAACAGCCGGCATAGTGATCTGGTTTGCTGTGTACTAATCTTGTTCTGAACAAGAATAATTGTTGTAGCATTCACCTATATAAATAAAAATGTAATGTTCGTTTGTGGGATTAATATAACTCAAAATCTACTGGATGAACTGACCCCAAATTTGGACACAATGCACCTATCAGGCCAACGAGTGACCATCACTCATAAAAAACACTGAAAAACACAGCAGAAGAGACTTAAAATTTATTATTTATTTATTTACGGCATTTATATGCCACTCATCTCACCCCGAAGGAGACTCAGAGCAGCTTACAATATATATTTTCATACAATATATTATATTATTAGCACAGTACAATATCAGTATTATATATTACTATATTGCACTATACCATTATATTGTAATATTAGTAATATTACATGTAATGTAAATATATAATTATAATTATAATATTGAATTATTATTAGTAGTATTATATTGTATTACATTATATTATTATAAATATTATATGTATATACAATATACTATATTATTAGTAAAGAGGGAAATGTCTTCTGCCAAGATTAAATAAAAAACTACAAAAATACAACGCATATGCTAAGCCACACACATATATATGCAAACACACACACATATACACACACACAAAACACATATACACAGGCTGGGCCACAGCAATGCGTGGCAGGGGACGGCTGGTGTAATGATATATCCCTACATTTCATACCATGAGAAGGATCTTTTCTAGTTCTTTCTCATGGTATGCTGATTTCTTGACTCCAGTCTTCATTCTGATTAATGACTGAGCCAAGATGTGGAAGGTTTCAATATCTTCATCATCTACTAGGCATGGGCAAACTTTGGTCCATTTCCAGGTGTTTTGGACAGTATTTATTTAACGTGTCAGTATCAACCAGACAATTGTATTATATTTTTAACAATTTTTTAACAAACAGACAAAACAGAGTTTGCAAGCTTGGTAGTTGATTAAATGTTCTTTGACCAGTATCTGGCCCCTTGGAGTGCTTCTGGTGTTACTATCAGAAGGTCCTCCATTGTACATGTGGCGGGGCTCAGGTTGCATTGAAGAAGGTGGTCAGTGGTTTGCTCTTCTCCGCACTCACATGTCGAGGATTCCACTTTGTAGCCCCATTTCTTAAGGTTGGCTCTGCATCTCGTGGTGCCAGAGCGCAGTCTGTTCAGCGCCTTCCAAGTCGCCCAGTTCTGTGTGCCCAGGGGGGAGTCTCTCATTTGGTATCAGCCATTGATTGAGGTTCTGGGTTTGAGCCTGCCACTTTTGGACTCTCGCTTGCTGAGGTGTTCCAGCGAGTGTCTCTGTAGATCTTAGAAAATGATTTCTTGATTTAAGTCGTTGACTTGCTGGCTGATACCCAAACAGAGGATGCGCTGGAGATGTCACTGCGGTCCTTTCACTATTGGCTGCTACTTCCCATTACTGCTCAAGCAGGGAGCTTTGAGATGGTTGAACAGAAGCTCTCCGAAGCTCTAGGTGCTCTTACTGCCTATTACAGGGAAAACCAGCTGATCCCTAACCTATCTAAAACACAGACATGTGCTTTTCATCTCAAGAACAGACAAGCATCCCGAGCTCTGAGGATCACCTGAGAAGGAATCCCACTGGAGCATTGCAGCGCACCCAAATACCTGGGAGTCACTCTGGACCGTGCTCTGACCTACAAGAAGCACTGCCTGAATATCAAGCAAAAAGTGGGTGCTAGAAACAATATCATACGAAAGCTGACTGGCACAACCTGGGGATCACAACCAGATACTGTGAAGACATCTGCCCTTGCGCTTTGCTACTCTGCTGCTGAGTATGCATGCCCAGTGTGGAACACATCTCACCACACTAAAACAGTGGATGTGGCTCTTAATGAGACATGCCGCATTATCACAGGGTGTCTGTGCCTTACACCACTGAAGAAATAACACTGCTTTGCTGGTATTGCACCACCTGACATCCGCCGGGAAGTAGCAGCCAATAGTGAAAGGACCAAGGCAGAGACATCTCCAGCTCATCCCCTGTTTGGGTATCAGCCAGCACGTCAACGACTTAAATCAAGAAATAGTT